TTCTATTCTATCCTTTTCTGTTCAATTCATTGAAAGAGATGCTGCTGAGAACATTAAACATTAAATTGAATTTATATCCATTAATGAGTTTGAAAAACAGTTTTAGAAAATGTGTTTTTCTCTATTTTAGTTATCTATGTAGTAGAATGACAGCCAAGATTTTATAAACTGAAAAACACTTGATATTCAAGAACATCTGATTTGAAGAACAAAGTGGCAAAGGTATTTAAAAACAGAACTACTGCTTATTGCGTACTCTGTAGTCATTACAGTATAGCTCTTTATGAACACTTCTCTAATCTCTGTCACAACCTTGTAATTTAGGGGACTGTCATTCCTGTCTAGGGATAAACCTCAACCTGAAAGGATGGCAAGAAGTAACAAGAGTCCAAAAGCCATGACAAAGCCAGCAAGCAGATTGACTTGCCATAAGGCCATAGTGGCTGGAAGTAGATGTGATTCAGTGCATCAGAGAAAGACAGTTTATTACTTTCAGCGTAGCACACGAAAGCAGCTTAGCATGATACAGCCAGTTCCCCGACCTCAAGTCTCATGGGAAGGGCCAGATGTTAACAGCTGAAGAGCCCAGGACCAAGGGCTCAACCCCTTTTATAGCAAGCGGTAACAAGTCAGTCTCCCCTCCTGTTGGGCGAGCTGCACAGTTATGTTGCAGTTGATTATGTGACAAGCTACACAGACAGCTCCAGGGCAGAGGACAGGTGGTCCTTACAGTCTGGCACACCCAGCAAGGACACGCAGGATCCTAGGGCATGGTGGGATGCTTCTCCCAACAACTCTCCATCTAATCGTTGAGGCACCCGAGGCTGAGAGACCTCATTTTCTTAAATTCACACGAGTTATGTGGCCTGGCACACATGCTAATACATCTGCCTTCTTCTGATGCAAATGCTCTTTTCAGTCCACCACAAAGCCTTTACTTGATCTCATCTCTAATCCAGTGCCTTTCACCCAGGAGACACCTAAAGATACTAACTGATAATTATGGTCAAGTAAAGATACAAGACATTTGCCTTGGACATGGATCATTTCGCACATAGACAAGCACACAGGTGGGAACAATTTCTGGCAGTGGAACTTCTTTGTGATTTTGATGGATATTACTGAGTTACCCTTCATAAAGTTTGCATCAATTTACACTCAGAATAACTTAGTAAGAGAACCTGTTTCATCACTCCTTCAAAAACAGTGCCACCAGACTATTCAATCTTCACCAATCTCCTAGGGAAAAAACGGAATCTCACTGCAGTTTTAATTTCTCTTATTATGAGGGTTAACATTTTTTAAAATTATTTTCTATTATTTTGTTTAATAGTCATTTAAATTTCCTTTTCTGAAAGAGAGTGTCCCATGCAGAGGAAACAGCCAGAACAAAGGCCACAAGGCAGGAACATGACAGAGAGTAACAGGAGATGAGGTCACAGACATAGCAGTAGACCACAGACCTGTACCTTACAGGCCAGTTTAATCGAGGAGTAGTTGAGGGCTGGCCAGTTAGCTCAGCTGGTTAGAGCGCAGTGTTATAACACCAGCGTCAAGGGTTTGGATCCCCATACTGGCCAACTTCAAAAAAATAAATAAAATAAAAATAGTTGAAAGTATTTACTTATGTGGGGTGGGAGATGGGATAGGAGGAGCGTGGGCAGGGAAAATGATCTTTTTACATTAAAAGCCTTGTAGAAAGAACTACTCGACTTCTAAAACTATTTACAGGTGAGACTTTCACAAAAACAAAAACTTAAGGCATTTTAAAACACTGACATACAAAAGAAAAATATAGAAGCTAACGGAAAAATTTAACAGATGGTATTTGCCAGCATGTAGTGGGAGTTAAGCTTTTCTTTTAGCAGATGGATGGACATTCTTATAACTAAAACTCCATGATTTCTCAGTCATCATAAGGATTTTCAGTGAAATAACATCAATTTAAAATTTAATCTTTGAGCTGCCCCTGGAAGGTAGGGAATATTTGGTTAGTGTCTCCAGCATTTATCAAGTGAAATGGTAAACTGACAAACTGCAAATGTAGTGGTCTTCAGAAAAATAGAACAGAAAAAGATTTCAACAGTTTTAAATTTCTTTCACGTTAAAAAAAATCATACTATTGGGTAGATATTTGAAAAAAGTATGATTTTGAGAATACAAGTCAGTGAAAAGAAGGTGGGAATTAGTATGTGTGCTTCCATGAAGAAGCCTCAAAGATGACAATCTTTCCAGGCTACAGGGGTCCGAACCTTACTATGTTCCTTTGCAAATGAACTGGATCATAAGTGACTCAGCAAACCTATTGCTCTCCGTAAAAACAAATGCACGTCATTCAGCTTCACCTTGCAGTAGGAGCAGGAGAATGAAGCCCTGGAGCATGTGAGAGAAAAATCTTCAGTCTGTGCACAGTAAGGCTCAGCCTTGCTCTCCGTAAAAACAAATGCACGTCATTCAGTTTCACCTTGCAGTAGGAGCAGAATGAAGCCCTGGAGCATGTGAGAGAAAAATCTTCAGTCTGTGCACAGTAAGGCTCAGCCTCTTGTAATTCCTCTAAGTAGATTCCATATCCACATTAAATGAAAACCTTGCTCATCTCTTTCTGTACTTTAAAAATTGTCATATTAAACTATTAAGGTTAATTTCTTATCACGTAATTATAAAGCAAAATGTTTTAAATCTGTATCCTCCCCTCTCCCATCTACAGTTTCCACCTTTTCTAAATTGCATTCTCTTTTATTAATAAAAGGAGAGAGAAAGGCATAGAGATAGTTTGTTACTTAAAATATCAAGAATAGTTTCCCGATAGGACAAATGTTCATGGAAGGCACAGAAAAGGACATATAATAGCTCCAGAAGGCTGAAGAAAAACATGCGAGATCACTTAAAACTTCCCAGATGTCAGCAGTAACGAACGGAAAACGGGCAGCGGTGGGAATGTTTCCTGTCTATTTTATCACCACCATCAGCCTATTATGACAATTTATTTTGGAAACTAAATTTATATAGGAAACTCAGCAAGCAAATGATCATTCCTTTGGAAATGGTGGGAAACTTAAGCTAATTTTCTTATTTTTGCTTCTCATCAGCAAGACCTAAAAGGAATTGAAATTCTTTATCTACTTATTCAGGCATTGCCTCTTAAAGCTCTCTTCGGCTCTTCATATAAGCAAAAACTGTCATGTAATAATTTTCATTATCACAAATTTAGTCACTAAGGATCCCATGCTAAATCAAATGTTTGCTCCTCTCATGCTGTGCAATGTAGCTTTACTTAATTGGTCTTTAGGAAAAATACAAAATCAATGATAAAAGTCCTTAGCTCTTTGAAAGGTTATTTTATGTTTTCAAAAATTAATAGGCTTCATATAAAAGTTGTTCCATCTTTTGTATGTTCTAATCAGTGACTTTCAAAGTCTTTTCTCACCACTACTCACTTTAATAAATTTTACATAGTGACTCAGTACCCACATACATACTCCAAACTAAACAAGTTTTCACAAGGAAAAAAAATACCCCATACAACGGGTAGCATATGCTGGTATTTTCTTTTCAATTCTATTCTCTTCCATTCCATTAAAAAAAGCTAGTAAAAACCCTCAATTAATTTCCTCACTAATGGATTTCAGATTATAGTTTGAAAAACACTCTGGATCACAATTACTTATTATTTTGTCACATAATTGAAAACACTGAAATTCTGAATCACAGATTACCAGATAATTCCACTTGTCCTATTTTTACTCTGTGGAATATCAAACGGTAAAAAATAAAACTCTACTTTTATTACACAGCATGATTTTTAAATTTATTATTCTTAAAGGTACCACAGATAGCCCTCTGGACACTGGCCAAATCCTCATCATAACTGCTCTCTTCTGAAACAAGGTCCAGGGCTGGGCCTGTCTATAGTACAAGGCAGAGCTTGGTGAAGGCTTGAATCACCCAAGTATCTAAAACGCTGTGGCCTGGGAAAACATGATGTGGGACAACTGAGATTATAATGCTGCAATCAAAAAGACAGAAAATCCAAAATGCAGGTTTACTACTAATTTCATTCCATAGGATATTTATACGTACACTTCAGATTTGCCAAAGTACACAGCAAGCAATAACTGTAACTTTAACTTCAATTATTTTATTTTTTGAGTTCTACTTGGTTCTTTTTTCAAATCTGCATGATTTTCAAGTTTCTTGCTTCCCACTCAATTTCCTATTACTTCTTTATTTAAAATACAGTCTATGTCATATCAATATATACTTGTGGCTCTAAGGTTTTTTATGGCAGGTTCTCATGATGCCTTGCTCTGTGTATTGAGTGATTTTTGACTGAGCGCATACCATGAACTCTTTATGTGGGACTTCTTTGGAGGTCTGGGTTGAAGGGAGGGTTCCAGAGCAGATCTGAGTTCCTTTCTACCTGTTGCCTAGAGGCCCTACCCACTTGGTACTTTAAAATCTCAGCTTGAGGTTTTTTTGTTTTGTTTAGATCACCCATACATGGAGAATTTGGGCTGAAATCCAAGTGTGAGGTAACTGTGGGTACAAGTTGTCAGGAGAGTGTGTGCATATACACATACATATATATGCCCATATGCTTATATGTTATCCCTCCATCCAGAACCAAAGTTCAACACAGGACTTTTCCTCGGGGCCCCACTAGGGGATGGATCTCAGCCTAATGAATGCTCGGCATGGGGGTGTGTGTGGTTGTGAACGTATAAGCGACTCTGTACCCTGGACTTCATCTGCTGTCTTCTGGGCCCCTGAAGCTGTAAAAACTAAAGATGTCCTTACCTTCCAGGTTCCAGCTTTCATTTACGTTTTTAGACTCTGGTTATTCCTTACTGTCCTGCGAGCTCATTTGAAAAACATTTTCTTAATTCAATATTTTGAATAGTTTCTAGTAGGAGCGTACAACTCAAATCATAAGTCTGTGCACATTTATAAAATCAACAATTCTCTCTACAGTGACTGAAATAAAACAAGTAGAAAAATCCTTGTGTGTAATTCAGACTTTATTGCTTATTAATTATGTCATTCCACACAATTTTAAGTAAACAGACTTTGAGAAAATATACTGGGAGAGTTCAACAGTAGATGGCAATATTGATGAGAATGTTCAATTACCTTACGTAAGGTAATAAGAGGCACCACTGCCACTGTCACCCCCAGAAATTTGTACATTTCATATAAAAAGAGTAAAAATAGTTCATTGGCATTTAACTAGCATTATTCTTTGTAATCTATGAATCACAATTAGCCTGAACAATTTCAGAATCTTCAGAGCAAAACAAGTATTTTCTTCTACTAGCAGATGTTTCTTCAAAAAGACAAGCAAACAAATCACAACAAAAACTATTACATACACAGACCCGAAACAAAAGTTGGCCTATTCCAGTGGTCCTGGATTTTAATATGTTTTGCTCTATATTAATTCAAATGTGATTCAGCTTTTGAAAATGAGATTACATTCTTCCACTGTAAGTATACTTACTTTGTACTTCAAATAATTTAACTGAAGCCAAAGTTAACCCAGTAAAAACCAGGGACACAACTCAAACTGCTCTTATGCTAAGGTAACTTCTTTAAAAAGTTAATTACTCTCTAAAAATGCAGACCCAAGCTACACAGGTATAACTTGAGGAACTAACAATCTATCCTTCAAAATACAGCAGCATCTTGAAGTAAGTGTTCTTAAAGCTGGGGAGCATATACAAAAATCACGGTAAATCACACATAAACATCAGTATCTTTTCCTGGTAAAATGATAAAATGATGCCAAGAGTTTCCTCTATTTATAATTTTTTAAAATATCAAGTACGTATAACAGTTCAGCATTTGAAAGACTTCTATGTATATTATTAAAAAGATGCTCAGATGGAGAAATACATTTGGATATTTGAAAAGACACAGTGAAAAGAAACAAATGTGGTTTTATATTGAACCATTTAGAAGACCTCAGTTATTCAATAACTAAAAACACACAATAGAAGATAAATAGGAATTTATTAAAATCACTGTCTCCAACAATACAAAAATTAAATATTAAGGCATCTTTTACTCCCATCCTGGTATATGCAGAAAAGAGAAATATTTTAAATAAGAGCCAGCACTTCTTATTCAAATGCTTCCTAACGTATCTGGCAGATTTGTTTTTATATTCTCCTATCCCACATATCATCAAAAGTTCTTATGATCAAATACTTTGACTCAAACCAAGAGATAAATATAAATAGATATCAATTTATTAAAGGGAAGTAGTTCACCCTTGGAAAATAAAAAGGAACTACAAAGGATATCATGTATAAAGTTCAAATTACCAGCATCCAAATTTCTCTGAGGCAACTTATGCTTCAATAATTAAACAAAAGAAGAGCTGAAGAGTTTATTTTATTTGACATGGGTCATACTGTAGGATAACTGTTCACTCAATATTCTGTTCCACTGGGATGACAGTTTAAAAAGGGCTTCATATGTCTTTACAAAAATATCACACCCACTAGAATAAGACGATATAAATTAATACTGATTATTATTCTCCATATTTGTCTACTTACAAAGCTCAACAGGCTTCATAAAGTATCCTAAACAGTAACATTTTCACCTTTTATTAAGGCAAGTTTGTGAAAATAATTTAATACAACCAGATCTCTTCATGAACTTTCAACTAACAACATTTTTGTGTAAGAAACATACAAAAAATTATGTTTTATAAAAAGCTACCTCAATACCAGAAAATAGTAACGACGGATTTTGAACCTAGTTTTTTTTAAAGGATGCTCTTTCTTTGTCTCAAATTCCAAGCGTTATTCATCATCTTTAGAGCCAGTTTTGCTTAACTATAAAAAAAGATAAGAGAAAAAAAATATTCGACAAGTTTAAGTGATCATATTATTTAAGGTCATTATTTCCACTCAGTACCAAGCTTAAATAAACAATGGGCAACAAGGTTCAAATAACTTAAACCATCGATAGCTTTTACCATTAGTAGCTACTTTCAACTTCAGGCTCAGCTGCTTCAAGCAAGTTTAAAAATATAACCTCAACAAAAATGTAACCAAAACAGAACAAGGGGAAAAAATCCTTTGAAGCTTTCCAAGTAATAAACTGGAACAAAGCATATACAAATAGAAGGTGCTATTTATAAAATGAATAACATTCTTCTATTTTTGTTTTCCATCACAGACAATAAATTTTTTGAAAAAAATTAAAAAATTTTTAAATTGTGTTAAAAAACACTTCACATGAGATTTACCATCTTAATCAGACAACAAATTCATAAAGTATATTTTTGAAAATATAATAAAAATTTTAAATTGATTTTTTCTAATAAAAATCTTAGGCAAAAGTTGGTAAATTTGGGGGGCGGGGGGTTGGCAGATAAAATTCTCTAACAATAAATAATACAAAGGCAATTCTGATCAGAATGATGACCCGCCACTGAGAAACTCCCACTGCACCCAACAACTCCAAGAGCCTCCAGAGAACGTCAGAGGCTGTGAAAAGCAGAAACTACTAAGGACAGTGGTCCTCAAACATTTTGGCCCAAGGGCCTCTTCACACTTTTAAAAATTGAGGTCTCTAAAGAAACTTTTTTAAAAAATGTGGATTATACATACTGCATTTGAAATTAAAATTGAGAAATTTAATTCATGTAAAAAGAACAGTAAACCCATTATATGATAATAACCTTTTTTTAAGGAAATATAACTACATTTTCTGAAACAAAACTTAATGTGAAGAGGGTGCTGGTTTTACATATTTGCAAATCTCTTTCATCTAGCTCAATCAAAGACAGCTGGATTCCCACAAATTTGCTTTACAGTAATGCAGGTATAACGCAAGATAGCCAACAAGAGCACAGCAGAAGGACTAAGAACAACCTGAGTTAGTAATGCACATACTTAGATCCTAAACCTACCCACCTTAGAAAATTCTACAAGACAAGAATATATAAGCACACATTCTATTAGTGCTTTAATAGAGTATTAGTGATGGCATCATCATGTCATACGGCCTCTGGAAAAGGCCACTATATACTCATGACAAATAAGTAAAAAAGGCAAACAACATCTTAGTGTTATGATGCCAATAATTTTGACGTTGCTTACCCACTAAGAGGGTCTCAGGGATCTCCCAGGAGTCCAAAGGCCTTACTTGGAAATCACTGGCTTAGGGTAATAAATTCTGAGATCAAGCTGTGTTTAGGTGTAAATTCCTTAAGAATATCTTCTCCCACCTTCCAAGATTACTGAATTATTTGAATTTCACTTTTTTTGTTTGTTTACAACTTGGAATTCTATTTATTTAAATAGGGACTCAAAAACAAGCAAAAAAACTTCTGGAGCTAGGGAAGGAGGAGCAATATCAACACCTTTAGATTGAGCAGATTATTTTTGTTCTCACTTTCAGCTGAGATCCAGTGCAGTGAGAGAAGCAGCGTTCTGACTAAGAAAACAGCTCATTTTGGAGCACAGAGCATTCTGAGGAAAGAATGGATTTAGCTGGTGAGCTACATGCAGGTAAACCTAGGACAACATGAAGTATCCAAAAAGCATCAGTGGAAAGTGGTCAGGGTAGGTGAGAGAATGCCAGAGAAGCTTCACCCGTACAGACATCTTGTACAGGGTCATCTTCTTGCCAAGAAGGGGGAAGAAATACTGTGTTTCTTTATTCCAATTGTACCTCATTGCTCCCTAATCCCAGGTAATATTTTTGTACTAAGATTCTAGAAGCACAAAGAATAATTACTGTAGAAAATGCATTCCATGGACCAAACAGCTGCCTTTAAACTTTAGGAATACATTGCTTGTAAATTACCCATATCTGTGGGTCCTCACTAAAACCCTCATCTTTAACTACCCTTGAATCATACTAAACACTTCTTCCAGCAGTTATAGCACCAATTGGCATGCAAAACTTATTTCATGAAGTCCTAACTTACTGTGTTAAGAATCAGTTTAATATATTTGAAACTACAGATAAT